TCTTAAATTTTTGAATTTTTATATTATAATTTTAATAATTTTTTATTTCTACTATTTATTAATTTTTTTCTTTTTTTAATATTTTATAATATTATTTAAATCTTATAATTTTAATCTCTATAATTTTATCTTATTTTTTATTTTATAAGTATAATTTAGATTATTTATTTTATAATTAAATTAATTTTTTTTTAAATTTTTATGAGTTTACATAAAAAAAATATATTGAAATTCCTTGATCTTTGAGAGTATCGTAGCAACTCCCTTAAGATAATTACGATTTTACTAATAAAAATCAGCTGGTTATGATTTCATGACGTCATACCCTGTTTTTCTTACACTAATATAAATGGTCTTTATAAGTGATGTTTATTGTTTTATTAAATTATTAAATTTTTTAAACATGCATGCAACATCTTCATTGTCACCAATTTCTACAGCTAGATAAAAAACAGGATTCATACAATGCAAATATCTGCAAGTAATGCTGGAAACAATTTGGTTATGATGCAATTTCAACTTCACATGAATTTTTTTCTTCAAAGATTCAAAATCCAATCCACGATTTACACGAATTGTTTTCGTGTCACCTGTAAAAATACAACCTTGCTCGTTGTTAATTCTACTACCATTATAATATAATAAGCAAATGAAAGACATTTTCAAAATTAAAATAAAAATATGCAAAATCAATATACGAATATGATGATAATAAAGAGAAGAGTAGCAGAACTATAATAACAACACTCGAAGACTTATAGAATGCATAATGGTCGAAGCTAGCAACTCATTCATCTATATATAACAATTTTTTTGAATGATAAACGTTATCTCTGATGACGTTTTCATGGTCAAAGAAACACTCCCTGCTTGCTTGTTCAGAGAGAGACATTAGGTTCAGATAGGTTCAGAGATTCAGAGAGGGTAGGCATAGAGGGGATCAAACTAAAAACATCTGTAACAGTGACGTTTACAGTTGAGTCAAAAAGTTACACTGAAAACGTCACTACCGGTGACGTTTTTAGTTGTTTTTTCCCACGTGAATAGTTAAGTGAACAGTACAAACTCGCCACTCAGGTTGACGCTTTCCAAAATCGTCACTCCACTTGACGCTTTCTTCATCCTACGTGTCCAAAATTATTTATTTTGGTAAATAGTTTTTTTATTAATTTATTTTAGAAATTTTGTTTTTTTATTTATTTATTCTGGTTCTTAAGCTTATTATAAATCTCGCCTATATTTATTTATTTATTTATTTTAAAAGATAAAAAAGATTAGAAAGGTGGTTGTAATGAAAATTGAACCTAAATTCTCATACTTCTAACTACTCTAACCTTTTTCTACCTAATTACTAGACTAATCTTAGTAGTCAACTGTCACCTATATGATATGAATAAGTCAAAATTAAGAAAATTAAAAATACTAAAAATAAATTTCTAAAAAAATTATTTATCAAAATAAATAATTTGTACTACGCTGACATGTGAAAAACACTTTTGATTCTCATGAAAAATTACATAAAATGTTGGGACTTAAGCATTTTCTTAATCTTTTGATACATTTCATTGGGTGGTTGGGATAAATTAACAAAAAACGCCTCAGTCTCAATGTTTTTATTTTATTTTATTGGACCATCAAATATATGTTTCCTTCATTTATTGTTATTCATCTCTTGTTTCAATTTTTGTTGTGATAATTGTTTTTCAGGTTTATTTTGTTGTTTGAGGTTTTTGTTAGTAAATATTTTTTCATTTCTCTAATTTATATTATTTATTATTGATTGTTAGATTTTTTTTTCTAAATTTTGTTGTTCTTTTTTATAAATACCTTTTGTAGTGAAGTTGTTGCTTATATTTTCTTAATATAAATTTCTAATTTATTTTACATGTTGGTGTTAAGCAAATATCGTAAATTAATATTTTCTTATTTCTATTTTCTTCGAAGGTTAGTTTCAATATTTTAAAAAAAAATTTATTTATTTCACATTATTTGTTAAGTTATAGTTTAAATATTATGAATTGAATATTTGTGGTAGTGATTATTTTATTATATAATAATTTTTTTTGTGAAATATTGTATATTTAGTTATTCTTTAATGTGTAGAAATAAGAAAATGTTGATGATTTATTTATTTTATTAGTGAAATATTGTATATTTAAGTTTGTAGTTAATAATTCTTTTATGAAGTGTGATAGTTTTTTTTTCTTTCAAATTTTATGTTTTGCATTAAATGTATTTTCTTATATTGATTGGAGTTAATATTAGTTTTTAAAAAAATAATGCTTGTGAGTAGGGTGTTATCTTTGTAATTTCCCTTGCACCCAGCCAAATTTGTATAGAAAATATATATATATTTTTTTTTAAGTATCAAAAGGAACCCTAAACCCTCAACCATTTATTTACCAAAGTAAATCTTTTTAGGGTTGTAACTCAGAATTTGATTTTCGGAGAGCCAATTTGTAAATTTCGTTTCCTCCATTTTCAATGATTATTCCTATGAGAATTTGATCCTTAGGGAGCCAAATTCTGAATAGAGTTTTTTATTTTTATTTTTTAATGTTATTTTTTTATAAAATTATAGTTTATGTATTTATTTAAAATAATATATAATTAATAAAATAATAAATAATATTATGTTTATATGTTTATTTAAATATGTAAAAAAATTTAATAATTTATAATATAAATATGATACATTAATTATGAATAAAAATTTTATTTAAATAAAAATAAGTTAATTAATATTAAATATTAATGTATATTAATATTTATAGTTAATTATTTTTTAAATCAAAGTTTTAATATTTTATTGGTCAAATATTATTTTAATATTTATGTAAAAAAATTATTCAAATATTTACAAATATTTTATTAATGATTATTAAATATTATATTACTTTTTGTCGTGTGTTTTTGTCTTTTATTTAATAATATACTTTAAATGTATATAAATTGATGTGCAAAGTTGTATATTTAATAAATATAATATATTTAATGAATTTAATCTATATTAAGTTTAATAAATACAATATTAATAGTATTAAAAAATTTAATTAAATATAATATTTAGTAAATAAATTTTATATAAAAATTACTTTATTTTTGTAATTTATAATTT